CACTTATACTTGCAGCTTCTTCGCGGTTCAACATGTCGCTGCGCGGCACGAAGTCGCGGCCCTTGGGCCATCGTGGTAGCATTCAGAAGCATGGAGGAGGCTGGCGGGCGCACTTTTCGAATGTTGTCCTGCGCGATGATGTCCAGAATATCATCGGCCCGCTGCGCGAGTCCAAGAAGAAAGCGATGGCAGACTTGAACTTCATTCGTGACTCTACCACAGTGGGTGAGGCTGCTGCGCGAGCTGCCGCGCTGAAGGTTCCAGCTGGCGTGGTGAGTTCGAGCGAGACACTGTGTCTTTGCGGGCTGAACGTGCAGTATCCGTGGAGTCGGCTCCTCATGGCAGGTCGCAAGACGATGGAAGTCAGGAAGTACGCTCTGGGGAAGTACCGCTGCTTCTCTGCGGGCGAGCAGCTGTTTCTCATCGAGACTCTGGGCAGCGGCTCCACGCAGGGTGCCATGGTGGACATCGCGATGGCCCCCGCTCCGTTGAAGGCGCAAGTGCTCGGCGTCATCGTTTTTGCGGGCAGCATCGAGTTTGAAAATTACGACCACTTCGATGCTCATCGATCGGATACCCTGATTGAGCAGGGTAGCTTCTATGATTGGGGGACGTCAGAGCCCCAGACGCTATTCGGTTGGTACGTGCAGCACGTTCGTGCCTTCAAGCGGCCTGTGCCAATGGGGCACATACGGAAGTCCCTGCTCGGCTGGACCAAGCCGGTAAAGCTGTTGGTGGACTTCAAGAGCAGAAGCCCCCGGCCACCAGTCTCTTGAGGAAACGCCCTAGAAAGTGAAGTGCTAGGGACATTTACTGTGATGAATGTCTTTCTTATGAGACGAGTGCTGCAGTTTCTGTCTCTGCATCCAGTTTCCTTTTTTGACAGCTGAACACAAGTCTTCGCCGCCTGCCAGAGGACGGACGCCGTCTTGCGAAAGTTCGACGGCGCGGCGGCCTGTGTTTTGTATGGACAGATTGGGATGACATCCCCCCATGGCACCGACCCGGAATGGGGAGGAGATCCAGCGGTGGCGAGTAGCACCTATTTTGTGCAGGACTGCCCATAAGGGCCCGAGTCATGGTCGCGAATTAGGGAAGCTCTGGCGCACGCGACTTTGCAAAGACAAAAGCTTACTGCTGCGCTTGTTGCTTCGCTTGGCAGACATATCGCAAACCTTGCAGTTGAGATTTCGACTTGGCTTCAAGCTTTCGCCTCCGGTTGTGCTTGCTGCTCGCGTAACCTGACAGGTCTCTTCCGCTCGCCGAGAGGATGACGGAGTGTCGGCTAACATGCCCGCGACTTTGCAAACACAAGAGCTTACGGCTGTGCTTCTTGCTTCAGTTTGCATGCGCATCAGCAGCTCTGGGCTCAGAAACGTGGTCACACTGTATACGCAAAGAATCAGGGCTTGTACCTGAGCAGCGACTGATCGGATCGGCCTCTATTTAAGACGGCGGTCGCCTTAGTGTCTGTGTGTGCGTGTGCATCGTTGCGTGTGCGAGTGCGCGGCTGTATTTCTGTGTGCTTCTGGACAGAGCAGACACAAAGAGATGAAGAGATACAGACAGAGAGAGAGAGAGAGAGAGAGAGAGAGAGAGAGAGAGAGAGAGAGAGAGAGAGAGAGAGAGAGAGAGAGAGAGAGAGAGAGAGAGAGAGAGAGAGAGAGAGAGAGAGAGAGAGAGAGAGAGAGAGGTGAGGCGACCACGCTGATCGGTGAAATGATGGACTGGCACTGCACGAACGACGACCCGGACCTGCTGTCCAGTCTCATGGAGCAAGTAGCCACTCAAGGGGCAGTGTGCCACTCGGCTATGCAAGCCATGCAGCCAGAAGAACAGCAACCTCCGGGGGAAGTCCACCCAGCCGATGTCCTGGCGCTGCAAGAAGGAGCCAGGGAAAGCCAGCAGAGAGAGACACAATTCTCAACGGGGAGACCGCTGGAGGGAGCCAGGCATCAGCTCGTGGAAGTGCTGCCATTCCTGGACGGCGAAGTAGCAGCCGTCGTGCGCGGCGCAGTCTACAAGGTTGACGAGTGGCTCAGCCGGCGCTATGGGGTGCCGGTCTTCGAAGTCCCAGAAAGCCAAGAAGCGGGAGAGGACCTAGGCCTGGCCCAAGTCCTAGCGGGGGAAGCCGGGGAAGCTGACGCAACACCGGAGCAAATGAGCGTGACAGTGGCCGCTGAGACGCAGACGCAGCCGACCCAACAGTGGTGGGCGCAGACGCCCCCGGGGCGGGAGACGGCGGGCGAGTTCGGTGAGACGCAGAGCAGCGGGGGAAGTGAGGGCAGCCAAGACACCGAGTAGGATAGAGAAGATCAGGGGGCTACGAGAACCAAGGGGAAAGGTAGTCAACTCAAGGTACTCTTGCGGGGGAGGGGAGGCTTTGTCTTCGGAAGGATTGGGGGTTAGGGTGCTTGGTTGGGGGAGGGGAGGGACCTAGTAGCTTAGATCCACAAACTCGCGGCCCCCTTGGCAGCCCAGCACAAGAACCCCCGGAAACATGATGCAGCATGAACGTACCCCTAGGGTCCCCGACTACTCTTATAGGCAGTCGTCGCGTTCGCATTCTGACGCATCAGACCTCGGGCGAATTTTGACACTTGGACCCAAGGAGGCCCGAGAGGCCCCCAGTGGGGGGATCAGTGCACCGCGAAGACCGCGAGCCGGCAAGTAGCGCACCGCCGACATCCCTTGGGGCATCAGGGCAGGGAGTACTAAGGACACTAAGGACCTCTAAGGTACTGGAGGGGGATGTCGAGGCGGTGAACGCTAGCCCTCGTCTCACGTAAAGGACGGACTGAGGTTCTGGGCGCGCCTGTGCGCGCGGGGGGCCCCCGGGTCCCTCAAGCCCTGTAGAAGAAGAAGAAGAAGAAGAGAGAGAGAAAGAGAGAATTGCTGTCGCTAGGAGCTTCGGGTTTAAGATAAGTTAATAGATAATAGTGCTCCAGGGCTTCATCAACGACAACACCCAACACCAGGCAAACCACCCGGTGACGGCCTCAGGTCTTCCAACGTCGAGTTCAATTGCGGATTGCGCGGCTCCGAGAACTATTTCGACGGGTAGCTACCTTGATCAGTGCCAGCATCCCACGCGAGTGGAGTGTGAGTGCTTAGATGTTGGCCGTGCAGGTACAGATGATCTCCCCGCATGGGCGGAAAGCGGCCTTGCACCGCCGACACTCGCTGTATCTGCCGACCCGGATTGGGAAGGAGATCAAGCGCTTGCTCAGGAGACACACTCGGCGACTAGCGTCGCCCCTTCATTTAACAAAGATCGGCAGCTACATTGGTTCTGCGACCTGGGGTCGCGCCTCACCAATGTACGACTGACACACACATGTTACTTGTGCAATTATTCTTGACGCGTCACTCTTTACTTTCGCGCGGTTTCGCGCTCGCACTCTCGCACACACACTCACACTCACGCACTCACACTCACGCACTCACTCATGGCCACACACTCACTCCATCGCTCTCTCACTCTCACTTCTGTACTCTTTCTGAATGGAAAACTTTGCATGTGGGGTGATCCGGTCCTTTAATTTGTTTTTTTGTGATTTGTTTGTGACTTGGTTTTGTGATGTTTCGGTGTTCCGTGTGTGGTGTGTGTTTTCGTTTTTTGTGATGTTATGGGTGTGTGTTTGGAGTATTGCACTGCCTCAACAGATCGCATGGCCCAAGAGGGGAGGGGTGGCGCGGGGGGAGGTGGGGGGGCGGTGGGGCGGGGTGCGCCATGGGTTTGGGACCCCAGACCCTTTCAAGGAACCGTGCGAGGGGGAGGGGGGGCGGGGTGCGGGGGGGCGTGGGGGGTGTTGGGGGGGTGTGGGGCGTGGGGCAGGGGCGGGCGGGGGGTGGGGGAGGGGGGGGGGGAGCGGCCGGGACACTTTTTCACACTTTTTTCACACTTTTTTCACACTTGTTTCACACTTTTTTCACACTTTTTTCACACTTGTTTCACACTTTTTTCACACTTTTTTCACACTTTTACCAAGCCCTCCGCCCCCACCAGCACAAGCCCTCACAAGCCCACACCGGGGAGCGCGCGTGCGCGGCCTCACAAAAGTGTGAAAAAAGTGTCCCGGCACCCTAGCACACCCCTCATGCCCTGCCCCCCAAAAGTGTGAAAAAAGTGTTCCGGCCGCCACCCGCCCCCACCACCCCCCGAAGCTGGGAAGGCTTAAGAGGGGGTAGGCTTGGCCTGGCCTGGCCTATACCTTTACAGGCCAAGCCAGCTGAAGGCGCACTAACAGCCAATAGCTGCAGCTGAAGAGCTGCGCCCCAACACCCCAGACTCCGAACAGAAACACACAAACCTCAACCATAAACATCGTGGACCCTCAAAGCAAAATGCCTATCCCTGTAGCCCTAGCCCTGCAACCTGGCTGCAACCCTTAAGCCCAAGCAGCAGGAAAGCAATATTGGACTAATAATCATTAATAATCCTTCACCAACGGATTATCAATGTTTCGCATTTATTCTACACTTTCATTTCAGACGGAAGGAGAGATGGTCACAGATTTTTCACACATTTTTCACACTTATTTTACACTTCAGTGAGCTCTCCGAATCTCCTGGGAACACTTATTTCAATCTTTGTTCACACATTCGGATCATACACATTTCACACTTTTTTTACAAAATAATTATTTGGTGATTTCCAGCCTATATGGGGGAGTCCTGGTCACAATACTATACTCTACTATACTATACTGTACTATACTATACTATATACAGTATAGTGTATATTATGCAATATATAGAACCGAATACAATATATAACATATACAGATTTTCCATAATATCTAAATACGATATCTGATACATGATACATGACATATGATACATGATATATCATAATCTGAATATATAGATGAACTATATACATATATATATATATACATATATATATATATATATATAAATGCTATATATATACATATATATATATATGCCAACTCAGAATAATGTTCTTGTGTTGGGGTGGCCCCTTCGCACCAGAGGCCGCTGCAGAACAGCGTCGAGGAGCTTTACTCAACAGTGCGCTTTTTGCGCCCGGCGCCTGCAACATATCATCAGATCATCAGACAGCACATGGCAGCACAGTGAGTGGAAACAAACCTCAGACAACAGCGGGTTTGAGCGCACCCATGCACGGAGCAAATTGGCATTGCCTCCAGCACTCAAAAGGTGTCGAACCTTGGTGCGCATGGCCCTGCTGGCGTAAAGCGGTTGCCGCCAACTCAGGATGCTTCTACTCGTATCTGGGAATGTGCTGACAACTGTGCTCTTTCTGCCTCGAGTATCCGAGACTGTGCCACGCAGTAAGGATGCATGTGCGCATGTGTCCACGACCAATGCGAACTTAGGCAATGCCGCTTGAGCGTGGCTGGAGCCTCAATGGCCAGAGATCGTTGCCCTGATGCGCTAGCAGAAGTAGGGTGGCATCCTCTGCTTTCCTCTCCTTAGCTGAGCTTCCTCAGTCTTTCGCACCAAGGGCGCCATGGGGATGCTGATGCCATGACACAGGCCTTGGACACTGCTCGGCGCATAGCCGGATGCTGAGTTGTATGCGGTTGTCTGCGGTTGCATGTTTTGACTAGTACACCGTTATGCATTGCGATACCCTTTTCATCTTACGGCCATGGCATCTGCAGCGTCATGATCGCAACGCACCTGGCATGCATGTGCTTGGCCTGAACTGAGGTAACTCCGCTGATTATTCGGCGAACGAAGTCGACGGTGCCTGGCCAGCATGATGTTGCTCTCTGCACGAACCGAACGATGGAAATATCTTACGAGAGGCTGTTCACGACTACAAGCCATGAGAAGTGAAACGTTATCCACTTCGCAGCAAGCTGGGCTCAAAGCAGCTTTGATTGTTAGCGGCGCGCACCCACTCAGTCATGGCTGACGCACTAGTGCGCGAGCAGATCAGCCACTCGGCTATGTGAACGAAGAATTGGACCGGTTCATGCACACGTATCCCTAGGAAATACAGGCAGAGTTTGAAAGACGTGGGCTTGTCCAGCTGTGGAATTGTACCGCTACTTTGGTGAGACTTTTGTTGTGTTAATTTCAACACTTAGGTGAGTTCTACGAGACCTTCAAGCTCTTCGACGAAGACAAGGATGACAAGCTGTCCTTAAAGGACGTGCGCTCGGCGGTTGAAGCTGCAACAGCGCAGTGTCGTCTCTACCTTTCCCTATTTCCGCAGGAGTTCGGAACTTTGCTTAGAACCTCGGCTCCAGAAATTTGTTGCACAGGGATAAGCTGTTGAACGGACGGGCTTGCAAACTGCAGCGCAGTAGCTGGGCCTGTCATGTCATGCAAATGGCTAGGGCCGTGACGACGCCGAGGTTCCCTTGGCCAGAACCCGACAGAGCAAGAGCTTCAAGACTGGATCGGCGGAGATGGGGAGCACGAGCACCTCGGCTTGCATCTTATCGTTTATAGACCTTGCTATAGGCTGGTGATGGGCATGTGCGCTTTCTTGGGCACTGATCCATGGACAGCGCCCTGCTCAGCACGCGCATCGACTTCCACACTTTCCTGTCGCTGATGTCGCGCAAGCTCAAGGTTGGGCCGTTTCTGCACTAAGAAACTCGACTCGGCATCCTGACATTTGTCCGCAAGGAGACAGACACAGAAGAGGAGCTCATCGAAGCGTTCAAGGCACTTCGACGGAGCAGAGGGCATGATGCGTGGCACAACTTGCGCCAATGCCCACCCTACAGGGTCGGGGAGTTTTCCTTTCAAGCCTGTGCAAACTTGACCAGGTCTTTGATCGTGATCGTGATGGCTTTATTTCTGCCAACGAGCTGCGAACTTCAATGACGCCATGGCCCTAGTATGCCCACGCACTGCAACGTTCGGCACTTGAACGCTCTTGAACTTCCACACCCAAACAGGAACTTGGGCGAAAAGCTCAACGATACAGAGGCCTGGCGCGTGCTTCTCCGAACATCATGGCAACTGCAAGATCGCAAAAAGCGGCCTGGCGTGAGGTAGACGAGATGATCCGCGAGGCAGATATTGACGGGGACGGGCTCATCAACTACGATGAGTTCGTGAGGATGATGATGGCAAGCATCCGGTTGGCAGCATAAGAAAAGCCAAGTGCTCCCTCCCGGCTTGCCGCGCGATCTTCGGCAGTCGCTGTTTTGTCGTTGTGTCGGCCGCATGTGAAGGGGGGTGACGCGGAAACGATGCCTGTCATTCGGCCGTCCCTGACATCCGAGGCAAGTGAATAACTTCAAAGCCAAGTCGGATGGAAGCGGTGTGGTGAGGCGAAGCTTCACACTGTTTCATGCGACTCCGAGCTGCAGGTAATTCGGGGATGGGCTTTCTCTCGGGACGGGCGCACTCGTTGCGCCGGATGTTTCATGAGCGGCTTGCAGACTCCAAAACCTAAAGTAGGCAAGATTGATGAAGCCGCTTTGTCTCACACTCGGAAGATTTTCCGGCTTGCGCACAAGCCAGTTACGTGATGCCCCTGTAGGCAAACGCGGTCGTTTGCATCGCGTCAAGAGCGCAGCCGAGATTTGTCCCTACAGTTGCAGCATGCTGCCTGCTTGGCACAAGACCGCCCTTATTCCGTCGCAAGATGACGCAAGAACTATGTAATATTATGTAATGTGTAAGATGTTCTTGACACTGCTTCGGCTCTGGGCCGACTGCAAGTCTTCAAGTGCCTCGGGTCGAGCGTGTCACCAAGTGCAGCCGCAGCAGTTCAGTTCATTTGCCCTGATAGGGGCATGGCAAACAAAACTAGTTTGCTCATCTCACCAGCGACCTGGCTAGTGATGCCTTCTCAAGCCGCTGGCAGAGAGGGACTTCGCTAACGAAAACGGAGTTGGAATGAGTGAGAGTCTTCAGACAGAGCCTTCTCCTCACAGCCTCCCGAGGTGAATCCCGTGACCGGAGAGCCTCTGCTACGGCTGCCTACAAAGCATCTCCACGTGCCCGAACCTCCTGTGCATGGCAGACTACTGCGCCTTACTGCGCGATCTGATTTTGTAAGAACTTTTCACAACTTACAAGCATTGGATTGCAAAGGTCAGGTTCCCGTACCCCAAGCCAAATAGATGCATGACTCCGCACCAGCATGCACCAGCTAAGTGGCTGGCACTTCTGTACCGCCCTCTCAAAAAAAGCAAGCACGATTGATGCCCTTCTTAATCGCAATTTCTCGCAAAATAGGGAGTGCAGCCCTCCAGTAAGATGGGCTCCTCGATGGATCGCGGAACCGGAGCTGGACGAAGACAGATTTTGAGTTTTGATGTGAGCAGCCTTACAGATCTTACTGCGCTCATCTTTTGTTATGTATTCAGGAAGCTAGTACTGTGAGTCGTCTTTCGGCCGTAGTTAGCTCTCCATGGATATCAAGAAGGTCTTTTTGCGTTTTTTTTAAAGAACTTGGTCGTCGCGCCTCTTTCCCTGCTTGTTCGGTGCGGTTATGTCGGCAGGCAGCACATTCGAAAATGTACTCTTTCAGCTTCAGGGGCTTCCACCACTACTCTTTAGTCTTGAGAGTCAATGCAGAGTTTTTGGGCCTCTTCAAAGGGGCATGAATGCTTCTGACAGCGTCTTCCAGAACCGTCAAACCCTTGAGCAGTTTTTTGCCCGCCTGTCTTTCTTCTCGCATATCTCACACACTCGCACCCGCATAGAGAAGAAGCAATGGAACCAGTGAGAGACCCAAGCCAAGCGAAGTTCTGCCGGTCAGTTTTGTTGCTCTCGTGCTTGCGCCTCGCTAGGTACAGCACTTGGAGCTGTCGGCTGCAGAAAGGGACTTCTACGACACTCTTTGGCGAAAGGCGAAGACGGAGCACCACCCTGAGAACCGGCATCTTTTGAAAATGCCCGCCTGTCGCCATGCGACGGTGTTACAACTGGTTTGGTGCTGCTTCCTTCGCAGCTTGCCCCATCAGTGACATGTCATTAGGCCTTGGAGTTGGTTTCGTTGCTGATGAAATGGAGGTTTGACACATTCGTGGAGAAGGGAGAGGTGCTGTCGCATTCTGGCTGCATGACGCAGACGGCACTTTCATGCATGCCTCATCGTGACATCGACTTTGTTTTGGCCTTTGTCCCAGTCATGAAACGGCGTGTAGCAGACCGTTGCATTCTCGTGCCGAGGAAGTACACCCACATCCTTCAGCTGATTGGCAAGTTGCGGCAGGCCCCCTTTTTGTACCGCTGCCTGTAAGGTCGCCTTGCCCCTGCAATGTGTTAGAAATGCATTGATGTTCCGCAGCACTGTTGCGCCGAATCTAAGATCTACTTAACTGTGCAGATTATAAGTTGCAGAGATGCCAACAGCCGCAGATTGCTGAATGCCATCCAAGCTTGAGGCTCTTTGCCACCCCTTCCTAGTGCCTGGGGCTGAGGCTGTTTTGTGGCATTTGTGGCAACCGTGGAATTCAAATGGGCCTCCATTCCCAATTCTGCGCCATGCGTACCGATGTTTGGAGACAATTGGTTGACAGGAGGGTACTGTAGGGAGTCTTCACCCCCTGCAGTAGAGCAGATGGTGCCAGTGCGGTGCCCTAAACGTTTACGGGGGAAGGGAGGTGAGTTACACAGCCTAGGTAGGAAGAGCTTTGTCAATCAGGTTGTCATCTCAAGCAGCATCGCCCTGAAATTCAGGTTTGCGCGGGCGGGCAGCAAAGACGAAGACATGGAGTCGTTGGAGAGGCTATACTTTGAGTGTGAAAATCAGGGAATTTCAGTTCTGTACAAGAATGATGATGTACCCCCTGCACCTTGGGCAGCCCTTCACCTCCGCAAACAAAAGGAGTCTGCAAAGTGTGTGCAGTGCATGACTCAAATGCTTCCATGCAAAGCAGAACAGATTGATTCGATCGTGCGGCACTTTAAAGTCATTCTGGCCACTGTATAAGACTGAGCCCATAAAAGAGGTGCAATGGGTGTGTTGTTTCCGACATGCGTGTCTGCTCCATCAGGTTGCGTCTCACTGATGGGAACCTCTAAGCAGAGCCTTGAAGAGCCGAACCCTTCTGTCAGGCGATACCTCGCAGATGTCAGTGGCGAAGATGTTTCTGAGGCCTACGTGGCAACCCTGTTGCAGGAGTGACTTCTGACATGCTGTGTGCAGTGGCACTCTGCCAAGTCCTCGCAAGCGTTTGCGGGTGAGGTGCTCTCGTGCCAAATTTGTGCAGGAAGCAGAAATCATGTTTGACACGGTGTGCGAAGGTTTTGGTGATGGCAAAAAGCGGCTGCTTCAACGGAAATGTAAACGCCATGAGAGTCCAATCGAAAACTGCTTCGTGTTTGGTCAGGGCCCCGGCCTGAGGATCACCCAAGTGAGGCAAAGGACAAACGGAAGAAGGTGTCGGGCTCGGGAAAAGTTAGGACTTCTCCAGGGATCCTCAAAAGACTCCAAAAGACCTTCCTAGGCCGCTTAAACTTCGAGGGACCGCTTGGGGAACCTCCGGACGGCCAACCACTTGGGCCAACCACTTGGAATGTACAGCGCCGAACTCTCGGGCCCACCCTTATAACATAGATACGGCACTCTATATGTGCTTAGCTTGCCATCCTGGCTGCACGATGCATGCTGCATGCCGAAGTCGTGCACTCGCGAAGCGTGTGTAGTCCGTCTCTGAACCTTTAGAAGTGCGCTGCTGCAGCATGGCTAGGCTTGAGGCTTGAGGCCTCAGGCGGATTGCTGTCGCGCGCCGTAGGAGATTCGGAATGGGGAGCATAGTGACTGCGCGATCTGCGCGGTCCTCATTTACGTGTGCTGTTTTATGTGTGGGATGACTGAACACAGTCGCTGTCAGTATACTGTGAGGCTACGACACGCCGCAAGACCCAACATTAACGTGTTGTTCTCAGTCCTCAGTGAGGTTGCAGAGCGCATGTGCCATAGCTGCAGCTTCTGGGTGTTTTGCTTGTTCCAGATGCAGCTGCTTGCTGGTTCCTGCTCAGGCCATGTGGCCACATCTTTTGCCGCGAGTGCTGCTACAAGATCATCAAGCAGCGCTTGGACTTCATTAGCTCATATGCTGCCTGCGCGGTGCAAGTGGGGATGGGTTGTTTGAAGCTCCCCTCTTTCTGTTCTCGCTTCCTCTCCCTCTGTTCCCTCCCTCGGACTGTCCTGCGGATACCCCCCCACAGTTTTCTTGCAATCCGAAGCAGAAGATCAACATGGACAAAATTAAAGTATGCTGCCTGGGCTGTTTAAAAGTATTCGTCGCCGAAAGCTACCGGGTACCAGGGTTACGTCGAACCGCTTTGTGTAAGGCGAAGAAATTGGAACTTACATGTTTTGCTCACATTTGTCGATGGGCCTGGGTAGCGTGACAGTGGGGTTCGTGGGCTTTGTCCGCAGGGTTTAGGCCCTGTACGCAGGGGAGATCACTCCAAAGATTATCTACGGAATTCTTTCCAGATTCTCGGATTCTCTTATTCTGGAGACCCTAGTCTAGGGATACTCTGCGGTCTCCGTTGGGTGTGGTACTCTGTCGAACTTCTCCGTGATTCTCTGGGAGTTCCCCGTGCGTGGGTGGGTGGGGGTGGGCGCTCCGGGTATACTCTGCAGGATTATCTGCGGGTTGGGTTGCCATATGCTGTTTGCGGGGGTTTCTCTGGGAGGGAGGCCCAGGTCAAGGGGCCTGATGCGAACCAGTGAGGAAAATAATTCTTTGGATCAACACAATCCAGCTTGGGTGGGAAGAACCATCGTTGTTTTCGTGGTTTTGAAATCCCTATTTTGGACGAGTTGAAGCTCTCGGTGTTTGCGACCCCTGCGAGATACGGGTGCATGTAGTGATATGCGTATGCAAGGACGCGTTGATGCAACTGCAAGTGTAGTGTCACAGTGAATGTCATAGCTAGTGAATGCCGTGAGGGTGGTATGACGCACACGTGAAATAAGAAGAACACGCCACGTTCCGAGGGAATCTGCGATAAACTCGAGCACATTTATAATAAGAATGTCTTCTGTGTGTACTGTGCAATAATGCGAGGAGCTTCGAGGAGCTGTGAGGATGAGGAAGTCCAGGAAGATAGAGGAGTTTTTCTTGACAAGCCCATCCCGTGGCCTTTTATTTGGATAAGGCCACTCATGACAGGTCAACCTGTACTATTCAAGCCAGAAATCACTAGTGTGTGAGCTGGAGGGAACTTGCAAAAAGTTCGTGACCCTCTCTTGCTTGCAAACTCTGCCTTCGAGGTGTCACGGGGAATGCAGTGTGCCAAGCATAGTGCTCTTAAGTTGTGTAGCTGAGTTGGCGGATGCATTGGTGCATTTGTTTGTTTGATCTCGGCTCCGCTGTTTCTGGGGGGAGGGGGGCAGCGGCACTCTTCTGGCTGAGGCCCAGTCTGCAGAAAGCCTGGCATTACCAGGAAGTCGCTAAAGGTGCTCCTGGACTGTTTGAGTTTGAATGGCATGTGTGGCAGAGTGTCATCAGGTATTGCCCGGGGCATCCAGTATTCCCGCTCATCTGCTGGCGAAGGCCAGTTGTCGTGTAACTACTTGCAAGCAGAGTTGCTGCAGAGTTGTCGGAGAACATGCTTGGTCACAAATTTGCAGAGCAACCGGGCGCCCTGTGAATGTGCGCTTAGGCTTCGGCTGCTGATGGCGCAAGCGTCCGTGCACCTAGCCAACAATGAGATTTTCTGACGACTCAGAGGGCGCGCATGTTGCGGGCAAGTGAGCGATTTGGCGTGGTCATTCGCAAGCCACACAAGCCACACAGTCTCTGAGGCGGGTGAACCAGCTGGAATCCAAAGTACGAAGTCCAGCCGCCCTGTAGTTTGTTTGGGCTGCTTAGAGTCTGGGCCCTGTAGGCTTCTGTGACAGAAAAGGCCTGCTCATGCAGCTTTGCAGCACTTCTAGAGATGTCCGGTACGTGCCGCAGACAATTTGGAGAAGTAGGGTTTGCCGGCCCACCCGTGTGAGACCAGGCAGGTTCTCGGACTCGAGCTCGTGATCGGATTGCATCATTTGATGTGTGCCCAACTTGCTCAACCCAATAGGCTACTGAGCCACTGCACCGGGCTCGGACATGTTTCGTAATGCCGCCTGGTGAGGCCATGAAGCTGGAAGGTGCCGTGATAGCTGTAACTGGTGGTGCTAGTGGATTGGGCGAGAGCACCGTGGAACTCTGCGTGGCGCGGGGAGCGAAAGTCGCAGCCCCTCGGCGGACAGGCACGAAGGTTTTGAGGGCAAGTGCATCCGTGCGTTGCGCCAGAACGTGTCAGATGCATGACGTGAAGCAGTGAAACGCTTCTTGTACTGTCATGCCTGACCGCAGGGAATCCGCAGCAATGATGTCGGCTCATGAGGGGTAGCAGCTCGACCTCACGTAGTGATGGAAGCCTTAGACCTGCTCGAGCCCTTTGAGCTTGATGAGTATTCGATTGGCGAGGCGTTGGAGTTGGGAGCCGGGGGGGCCGGGAATGGGACATGCCAGGGGGGGATGTTAGGACGTTTAGTGCATATTACCAGTTCTCACCAGGGCTTCAACGGCTTCCGGCCAGGTGAGGAATGCCTTTGAGAACTTGGAGCGCCGATGCGGAACTCCCAAAGCGACCGCCGAAGAGTTCCTCGCAAAGCTTAAAGTTGCAATCCCAAAGACAGAGCACATGCAGAAGCGAGCAACCACAGTTTGGTCAAAGCTGAGCGGCCTCCTGGAATCCTTGCATGACCAGGCGATGTTAACAAGCCGTCTGGAGTACCTTGCGTTGAGACATATGAATCAGGACATCAGCACGACAGAGGTAGAGACCTTCAAGGGGATCTTGCTTGAGTTCTGTGCCTCCAAGCTGGGTGGCATGATGACGGCCGAGTTTCAGTTCGGCATCTCGCGCCTCATCGATGCAGTAGGGGCGTCCTACCATCGCACCCGCGAGTTCTACAGGTCCAACCTGAAGATTCTCGAGGCAAGCTGGGTTGTCGTGCAGGAGAACTCGAAGGAGACCGATGCTGCCGATGGAGAGGTTTTGGAAGGAGAGGAGGGTGAGGAGGGACAAGAAGTCCAGGAAGCTGAAAAGGAGGAGCAGGCGACAACTCCAGACAAGAAGAAAAGTAGCGGGGAACGGGCAAGCAATGAGGCTACCAAGACCATGAAAGACAGTGGCGCGGCCAATGCCCAAAACATGAATGTCCCCACGAGCTTTGGTGAGATGGCAAGATTCAATGCTTCGGTGATGGGTGTCGGGGACCGGCCATGGCTTTCAGAAATGATCACCGCACTGGACAACCTCGTGCCCAATGTTGGCAACATTGACCGTCTACAGGAGGAGTGTGACGTTCTCTCGCTGCTGCTCTGGCGCCACTCGCGCCACGAGCAGTTGGACCTGCCCGGCTTCAAGTCTGTGATGTTTGCATCCCTAAGGCCCCATGCCATTCTTATTCATCTTTTCTAAACTTTGAAGCTTTCGTGCTGCTTCTTCGTGCTGGTTACGACGTTCACACGGCGTTGTTGCGTTGTTGCGACGTTCTGCACAGCCGGCAAGCCAAGGTCCATGCTTCAGGCCTGGGCGGATGCGGGGATGACGTGTTGCGGTCTCCTAAGGGTAAAAACGCCAAATGCGGCGATTCGTTAAAATATAACCCAGCTTCCACCCTGTACTCGCCCCGGGAAGACATCATTAGCAGTTGCAGAAAGCATTGGTAGCCGGGGTCCTAGGAGCCCTAAGCTTTCCAGCGAAGCCCTTGCAGGCCAAGTGGAGCATAAAGTATGAAAACGCTTGGAACTGGTTCTGGTCATGTATCGAGAAGATGCTGGACACCAACAAACAGCTGCCAGGAATCTACTATAGTCACCTAAAAAGCTTCACCGAGTCGCTTGACGAAGACATGGCGGCCGAATTCAAGCTTGAGGTCTTTGAGACGCTGTTTGCCACTTGTGTCCAGACTCAGGATTATCTGAAGGCATCCAATGCTCGCCTGCAGTTCATCATGGGTCGGATTCTCCGCATCATGAGCGACATCTTCTCGAAAACCAAGACTGCCGTCCGAGACATTTCAGCTCTTGGGTTGCTCCATGCAGGGTATGGTGTTCCAGAGGACTTGACCGTCCCGTTCACAGAGGCCATCATGATGACAGTGAGAAAGTTCAGCAGCAATGAGTCGATCCTCCCTGGAGTGCAGTGGTGTTTGAACCTTGTCGCGTGGCTGCATCCAAGACTAGCCGGTGACTAGCCAAGGCTTGCAAATGCTTGCGGTAGCAGAACCATGCAAGCTACGCGCATCAGAGTGCCCTAGGATACCCTATCGTGCTCGCAGAGCGATCTGAGGTTGGCAGGATCGTTACCCGCACCTTGGCAGAAGGCTCTACCGCCGTCATGCAGTCCATCAACAAGAACTCGGCAAAGGAGCTGCAGAAAGCGGTTCTGCCTGCGCCAAGAGGTAAGCGAGAACAGCTTCTGCTGAGAGTGCAGGCCCCCGACCTAGAGTGTGACCGAGAGCATGCTGTGCCAGTGTTTCAGTGAAGTCAAGAAGACTGAAAGATCAGCAACATGAGTGAGACATAGTGAGACACTAAGGTCGGCACAGAGTCGATTTCACCACTTGTTTGGGCCATCGAGACAGGCGCACTGAGGTCGGCACAGGCCATTTTGCAGGAGTTGCTCACGATTCGTGCGGACCGGTCGTCCTACTACTACAGCATGAAGGGCCTCTTCGCGCGGCACCCGGACATCGTCCAGCTGCTGTGCCGACAGGCACCCACGCTGCTGAGCCATCTTCTCGATGGCCACTTCCTTGCAGTTTCAGAGTGAAAAGAGGAGATAGGATATGACAGAGGGCATCTCGGATTTCTCCTGCTTTGCCTTGAGCTGCAGGTCTGGTTTGGAAGTCTAAGAGGATCAAGGGAGGCATGCGGCGCGTGAACTACTATATTGGTGCCCTGTTCCCTGGCAGAGCTGTGGTGACCAGTAGCCGTCGATCTCTCGTGTTTTGCAGGGTTGCCCTCTTCGGTCACTCAGTAGCGCTGCCGAGGTTGATGGATGACAGTGGCAAGCTCACACCTTCTATGCACACACTCATTATGCACGGAGATCCCGAGATCGTGTGTCATTCTTGTCCAGCATTCGCGGCGGACCTGTTGTGGGCTCGCATGTGTGGCCTCGCCTTCGTCGGCACGAAGTTGTGGTTCATCCTAACCCTGGCCAACTTCATCGTAGGATTACAATATGGAATCCTCATGAGCGATGACGCTGGCGCTAGTCGTTGGGCGCTGATTGGCTGCCGAGCACCTTGGACAGTGCAAGTCAAATCGAGCAAAGCAGTTAAAACAGGATTGGCGTAGTGGGCTTAGTGCGCCCTTGGCATGTCTGAAGGCTAGGGTTTGAGGCTCCGAGCCGGAGATCAAAACCGACTACGAGGAACCAGATGACGAAGAAGGGCCAAACAGGCTGGCACAGTTGCCTTGAAGGAGCATTCCAAAGGGTAACTTCACAGCTTGCTGCGCCTCGCCCTGGCCTTTTTTAGAACAGTGACAGCGTGTTGGTGCTTCGCGCTGAGTCGAAAGGGGGGGAACACACAAGAAGCAACAGCGCGCTTCCAGGTCATGGTGGGTGAAAATCGGTTCTCGATGCAAACCTCCAAACTGGACGAAAGAAGGGGGGGGGGGGGCATGTTTGTTCCATTCCGGTAGTAATTGGTGGGGAGAAAGGTGATGCCCACAACCGGGGATGTGAATATTCTTCGACACAGGTCCAACACTGCATTTGACATAGGTAGAGAATAGCGAAATGGGACATACCACTGCGCTCCAAGGTGTTCATGTATGTCTTCAGCTTGGGGCAGCTCTTTGCCAAGCACATGTACCAGACCGTTCGGGCGTGCTCAGCTGGCAAAACGTCACGATGCTTCTGGTGCTGCCGGGTGCCCACTTATCTAGTCACCTCGAGGCAAGAGTTCATCGAGTTCATTCTTGTGCTCTTTTTGCTAACAATGCTGGTCATGGAGCCTTTCCTTCACTGCTTGCAAGTCAGCGATGAATGGCTGACAAATTGCTGTGCTTTTGGGCAGTTCTACTGTGACTTGTCGGACTGGTACGATCGTGTTTCGACTGTCCCCATGCTCCTGTATTTCGTTTTGGCCTTTGAGTTGGTCCACTTCAACATTCATCTTAGCTGCTTTGCTGTGATCTGCACGCGGTTTTGGTGGGAGTTCTTGGTCTACATCGGGGCTCTGGTGTTTCTGGCGACAGCGTTCGCATCGGCGATTGCCTGCTTGCCACAGATCGGGCTGGAGACGGGGATTCAGATGACAGATTTCTACAATTGGCCTGCAGCTTTCCAGGCCCTCCTCTCTATGGGCCTCAATGTGTACGGTGCAAACAACTACGCAGAAATTGCCACGGAGAACGAGCCGCTACTGAAGTGGTTTGTGATTGCCTTCGCATCCTTTTGGCACGTGTACTTCATGAACTTGATGGTGGCCCAGTTATGCCAGCGATACATCGCCATCTCCAAGGATGCGCTGGGCTATGCAAGGCTGACCCGGGGCACGATCATCTTCGAGACGGCCATGCCAATGATCTCCGCAAAACGGTGGACCAGGTTTGTGAATTCCTTGCGTCTTGATGAGCCATGTGAGCTGGATGAAGGTGATGCAGGTCCCAAAGGGGGCGTTGCAACCTCAGAGGGCCAGTACGAATATCTGAACCATCCATCCATAGAGCTGGACAGAGTTCAGCGTTATGGAGGCCTGGCATCCCCACAGCTACCGTGGCCTCCATCTGCAGATGAGGATGACAGCGCTGTCGCCCTGCTGCAAAAGAGCACCGACAAGAGATTTGATGAGATCGAGAGGCTGGTCTTTGACATAGCTGTCAAGCTGGGAGTGCGAAACCAGCAGGGTGCCCTTGCATCCGTTCTGGGAGGGTCCCAGGCACATGGCTCTGCAATTAGTCATCAGAGTCACCATAGCCACAACTCCAACTCCAAATCCGGCGCAGAAGAAAACTTGGGAAGCTCGCCTTTCAGTATGGGCATTGCGGATGAGGAGGAGGATGTGGAGGAGGACAAAGGGAACTCACCTGATGCAAGTCCCGTAGCAGCAGTTCCTGCAGCTCCTGCAGCACCCAAGAAACCAGAAGGTCAGGCAGTGGTCGGCGTGTGAAAAAAGTCACACAGGACACACAAGGACGAAGCGTTTTTGAAAAGATGCGTCTCACATTTTGATGCACCAGGACATGCAATTGCACAAGGCTCAGAGGGCCCATGTGGAGCTTCGAAGTTGAAGCCAGAAGCATGTTCCACCAGTTTCACCAGGGACCGATCAATGGGACGTTCCGCTTACTGCTTTGTGCGCTCAGCTGCACGTTGACCTGCGTTCCTCTATTCCTATATGCTAAATTCGAGCGATCCACAGGTTTGGATAAAGGACGGGCCGTGGACCTTGCATCAGAAAAGTCTGCAGCACGTTTCACGAGAAAAGGTAAAAGTGTGTGCCTTCAGCCTGCTGCGTGCGACGCGAGACAAATCACCTACCACGCGGCAGAGAGACATTGCTCTGTGGCTCGGTGTAGTCAAGGTTCTGGACATGAACAAGGAGAAGGGTGATGCTGTCGTTCAGAAGGTTGGTGCTTCCAATGCATTTTTTGTGGAATGCCCTTTGGCCGCAACGTGACATGGGCTGCTCTCCTAGTACAAGAGACTCTCACCCCCATGCCTGGCTATTCGCGAGAATGCGATAGCTACGGTGGGTTGGGCACGGCATGCTCGCATGGCTGGATTGCCTCTGCAGCAGACATCCTTGCAATAAGGCAACATCCTGGATGAAAAATCCGTGGAGGAATGCATGACAGCCATTAAGCAGAAGTTTGGAAAGCTGAGCGGCGTGGTCAGCTGTGCAGGCCCGATGTTTGAATGGTGAGGTTGGATAAAGAGAGTATGGGTTGTTGCTGGTTCGACCCGTGTCTTGGGATGTTGCCCTGATGCGACGCCTCATGCTCTTTGCATCAACACGGGCTTTCACGACATACTGCCTTCTCCTTGGAGGCGGTCAGACTCTCGGCAAGGGCCTCAGAACAGAGTGCCAATGCATGCCCTGGTAGGGTTGTCTTGTCAGAGAGAGAGAGAGCCTTGCTTTTTGACCAAAGAGTCCGTCTCATGTGGACCCGTGACACCAATGGCGCGCCCAGCGCGCGGGGGTTCAGGGACTTCTGCCCTGTCCCTCATGCCCGGTAGAAGAAGAAGACGAAGAAGAAGCAGAAGAAGAAGAAGAAGAGAGAGAGGGGGGGGGGACTGCACATGGAGAGTCGTCGTCTCACTCCGGACGAGACTTGGGCGCGCCTGCGCGCACGGGGGGCTTGCCCCCTAAGCCCGGTAGAAGGAGAGAGAGAGAGAGTGAGAGAGTGAGAGAGTGAGAGAGAGAGAGAGAGAGAGTGAGAGAGTAACATTGTCCACACAGCGTGTTGTTTCACACACAGACCTGACCGCAAGAGCACGCCCATCCGGGCGGCCCCTCCGGGGCTATGTGCGCAGGAAGGAAGGAAGAGTGATGGAGTGTGTGTGTGTGTGGAACCAGCTAGAGCCTGTTGGCACGGATCGGGTATGCTTGCATGGCCGGAGCATGCTGGAATGGATTTTCCTTCTTTGAAGAGTGAGACTGAGACTGAGACTGAGACTGAGACTGAGACTGAGAGTGAGAGTGAGAGTGAGAGAGAGTGTGTATGTGTGTGTGTGTGTCTCTGTGTCTGTGTCTGTGTGTTTGTCTGAGTCTGTGCTGTGTGTTTGTCTGAGTCTGAGTCTGAGTCTGAGTCTGTGTCTGTGTCTGTGTCTGTGTCTGTGTCTGTGTCTGTGTCTGCGCGTGCGCGTGCGCGTGGGCGTGGGCGTGGGCGTGTGCGCGTGTGCCCGCGCGTTTGTGCTTGCTTTGGCTGATTCTAGGCACTGGCCCTACGCTGGACAAGAAGGGCAATCCCCATGCACTGTCCCCATTTAAGAAGACGATGGAGCTCAACATCCTGGGCACCTTCCTTATAGCAACCAAGGCCAGGCTGCGCGGTTGAATGGAGCAGTTCAGAACGCTTGTGTTCCCCATCTTGGAGCTGCGTAGAGTTGCAACATGTCGCATATGTACATGGGATACCGCACTGGTCTCATGGCTGACGCGGACATGCGAGAGCATGGGCCCATACCAACCCAGCCAACCATTCCACCAACCCAACGCTGAGTCCGAGTCCGAGCTTGAAGCCCGGACATCCGAGTTAAATTCTGAGTAAGGCAGTCAGGGGCAAACGGGTATGTGAACAACAGTTGGCAAGAATGAACGAGCGGCGAACAGGAGATCTTAAGGGCCTCTTACAGGTCTTGCTTGACAGGGAGAGGAGCGTGAAGGGAAGTCCGCCTCAATGCAGTAACCTTGGGCTGTCAAGTCGCTCCTGCAAGGCGGCGGTGTTGATAGCAGAGAATGCCCCAGAAGATGAGGATGGAGAACGAGGTGCAACCGGTGCAACGTTCAGCTTCAGCTTCTGCTTTTGATCCAGAGTTGGATGGGAATGAGACGAGGGTTATATGAATTATTTGGTTATCCATTGTGTCACGCCGTGCCAGGCTGCATCATCAACGCCACCTAGCTGCATTATGGGCATCTGGGTGCTCAGGTGCGGGCCAATGCTCAACGACCCCGGGGGACTCTTGCACATTCACTCACTTACCCGACCCCCCGAACACAAACGGCGCACCGCCTTCTCAGCGTGTGCATTTTTGGAGTGTGAACCTGGGGCTCTTTGCGGCTCTTTCATCTGAGTAAGAGTCCCATAGCATCCTTGCATTGGTGGGATGCTCCTGTGCTTGCTGTGATCACTTGAGGTGGCCAGCGTGGCGGCTCAAGATGGCAAATGGCTCAGGGGCTCGGCAGCTTCTTCAAGCTGCACCAAGAAAAGTAGGTTGCACATCACCTTTGAAGACTTGTGGAGCTTTCCGGGGCCGGAAGAGCCACTATCTGAGGTCAAAACGGCCAAATCGCCTACGCGGCAGGTGCTGTGGCTTCACTGGGGTCATCTCAAGCAGTTAGGTTTGCTGTTGGCGTTGTCGTGAACTGGCGAACATCGGCGGGGTGGGCAGTGCATGTATGGGCATGTCACGTTAGCATCACCTCAGTATCGGCCACTCCCATAGTGCCAACCTGCCATGATCTGCCATGCTCCCAACCGTTCTGAGGCAAGGGCGGCATCATGTCCATGACGCTCCCCATGGCTCGTGACCTGGGCAAGCGTGGGATCCGCGTGAACTGCATCCTGCCGGGAGTGTTTGATACCCCGATGACGGCGCCTTTGAGACTTGCATGGCCATGGGCTAGGGAATGCAGGGCCACGGTACTCCTAGCAGATCGTAGCAGTTCCAATACCCTCCCCATCATGATCTTCAGATGTTTTTCAGATTTCCAGGTCGCGCTAGAAAAGCACTTCGTTGGCCATAGGCGTGCTTCATGGGAAGGCAATGTCTTACCTGTGGTCATGATCTACTGTGTTTCGCTGGGAGTTTTTCGCAGCCGTTGGCTGAACACAAAAGCTGGCGACAACTGTCCCTGCACTCTAAACCCTAAACCCTAAACCATTAAGAGTGCCCCCGAACATGCTCTGCGGACTGTCTCACGAAGGCACCCCCGCAGAACCTGAAGATTTGTTAGCAACTACCCCGCTGAACCTGAAGAGTTGTTAATGACTATCCCGCCGACCTGAAGAGTAATGAATGACGATCGCGCCGACCTCACGTTCTCCGGGGGGCCCGAGAAACAACCGACACAGGAGTGACACATTTGAAAACTGTACCTCCCCCCGAAATGTTACCCTGCGGTGCGGCTGGACTGCTTGGCGGGTGGCAAAAAAAAAGAAACCCTAAACCACCCTGCCTGCGGTTCGGCCAGCTACGCGGGAGCGAACCTAAACCCTGAACCCTAAAGCCTAAACCCTAAGGAGCAGAAGTTGTAAGTCACCACTCCAGTCTAGCGCGCGCAGCCCAGGAAGCAGTTCAGGCCGGCGGTGTACAAGAACCTTGCAGAGAACCTTGGCTCCGCATCTAGGGTTTAGGGTTTAGGGCTTCTGGTCCAAGTTGGATCAATGCGAATGCCAGACACTACGCCGTTTGCATCCTGCGCAGTTTGAGTCGGCTGTACAGGTCGAATGTCTTCCCGACCACGCGCCTGGGCTTGCCAGAGGAGTTTGCAAAGATGGCCGTGGCGATTCTCGAGAACAAGAGCCTCGACAAGACATGATCAGAGCATCAAACCGAAGAGAGTGGCAGTTGTCATTTGAACAGGTTACCTGGGCATCAGTGCTTGTCAGCAGCTCCAAGACTCTGAAGGTTCTAAAGGCTCTGATGAATCCAGTTGCCTGCTCCACATCCGAGCCTGACATCAGGTTCGTCAACGGTGAATCTATACGCGTGGACGGGGGAATTCGCATGAGCAAGCTTTGAACAGTTGAGCCCCTGATCGGACAGTGTGGCAGTTGGCCGCCTCTGTTGACAGATCCGAGCAAAGCGGGAAGCAAAATTCGGAGGTCAGGTTGCTTTTGGTGAGGCCATGCAGAATGGTAGACTGCTTAAGGCCGGCTTGATTTAGACTTGATGGTGCCAGGATGAAGGAGCTTCTAAAGCTACTTCGCACGGACATGGCTGAAGGTCATCGTGTCGTGGCTGGGAGCCCAGAACTTGCCACTGCATTTGGGCTAGCAAATCGAGGGGGCCCTTGCGCGTGTCATGCCTGGCTGATGTGCCTGGGAGCCAGGGCCGTTAGGGATGGCACAGGGTAGGATGCACAGGAGTTGCAGCCCAGATTTCTGGGCATGACATGGCGAAAGAAGGTACCATGTATCTTGTTTATGACAGCAGCCATGGCGAAGCTGCTGCCATTCAAGCAGCGATTGCAGAAAGCAAGGCAGCAGTTTCCTGTGTGGACCTCGCTGACCGAGATTCCTTCCAGAGGCGTGAAGTCACAGAGGAGATTCTTGAACAAGGCCTCCAGTTAGCATCTTCCTCGAGTTGCTCCGAGCGGGCAGCCGCGAAGGCTCACCTCATGGATATGCTTCTTGATTGCCCATGCTGGTTTTGCACGCCTGATGGTGTTGCAGGGCCGGTGGAAACCAGACCAGAGTCGGTGGGAACGACCGTTGCCCTGCTTCTCAGGGAGGCTGCATATCATTGCAGCCTGCGTCGCTTGCCAGCACGGGAGCTCGAAGCCGGGCTAGAATCCTTGACGATTTGTGCGCCAGGCGTTAATTTGGCAATCCTGTGCGGTCAAGCTGCAGCGCTACTGGAGCTCCATGGTGCAGTGGTTGTACGCAACTTCCTGGGGGAGGCGCATGCAGTGGAACTGGCCGAGACTGACTTCGGCAGTCTGTCGCCTGCCTGCCCAGGGAACGGTTCAGGAAGTTCAGGACCAACCCTGGGCAGTGGACGTGGAGATTGGGTGGTTTTGCCTTCGGAGGCCCCAGACCGGTTCTTGTCCAGCTTGGATGCCTTCGTAGCAGGCCTGCGGCCTCTTGTGCGCGGCAAGATGGACACGTGCGAGTTCCGAACTTGGCCAATGGTCACGGTGTACGAGCCAGGCAGAAGATACACTTGGCACTTGGACAATGGGAAATGCGGTAATGGGCGCCTACTGACATGCATCTACTATCTGAACCAAGACTGGCCTCATGAGTCTGGCGGTGACCTTCGCCTTCTCCGGCAGGAAAGCCCTGACGAACTGCAGATCATGGCAGAAGTACCTCCTCTTTTGGACACACTTGTGATATTCTGGTCCGAAAGCGTTCCGCACGAAGTCCTGCCCCCATGGACTGGACTCAGACATGCAATGTCAGTGTGGTACCTGTGTCCACTGCATGGGCTGGAGCATTTTTCCGCTGGAAATGCTCATCCAGCCTTTGGGCAGTCTGTGTCATCGGCGGTGGAGAGCATCCGAGAGGCGCTTGAAGTTGGAGCATCTGCGCCCGCCACTACCATGGACGTCTTGGACCAGCTTGTCGAGCTGGCAGATGCCACCCCGCAGGAAATCACACCCCGACATGCTGCTACTGAGTAAGTTCGGCTTAGAATTAAGAAGCTGTAGTAGTTTGCATGGATGTCCTCTTGAACCGCTGCGGCCTGTGGACATTTCTGCAAGCTTCACAAAGTCTAGGAACAGCTGCAGTGCTTGTGCTTCATGAATGCACCTAAGGTACAGGCCTCTAAAGGAGTGGTTTTGGTCAAGCTCTGTGCCTACCTCCGACACTTTAGCCATGGAACACCACCATGCCAGCATGTGCGCAAAGCCCGACCGAACCAGCAAAGCAACGAACAAACGCAGCTCTTCATGTGCGTGCTCTGGGCAATGCCGGCCTGCGGAACCTGGGTGGAAAGTATGAGATGGAGAAGCTTGGCGTCATCCTCAGTGCATTGGTGTCATGCTCTCTCTTGAATTATCCTCATCTTCAAGGCCAGCATTGCACGGCTTCTGATGGGATTTGCGGGATCCCTCGGAAAATCTGCGTTCGGAGCTTTCGGAGTTCTATACTTGTTCCGACTGAGGTCCCCCAACTGGCGGCGGCTTTGCTTCTCTCCTGGCCTTACAGAGCCCATTCGCAAGGCAGATGAAGAGCTTTTTCAGATCTCTTCTCCAAGATGTTACGCGCAGGTGTGCGCTTAGGCTCGAACAGCTCTGTCAATTCCGGATGGCGCTGTAACGCTGTACCAGGCTTCGGTGGCTTTGGTGGCTACACGCCCCCTGCCCCCAACTGCCCAGCCTTCAGCTGCCCAGCTGGCCAGCTGCCGGTGGGCAAGGAAAGTGTGGAAATCGTGGCTTTGCTTTGAAACAAGCAACCTGAGCAAACTAAGCAAACGAGGTCTCGTTCAATTCCGGTTTCTTCTGAGTTGGGAGAGACCCGCTGGTCAGTGGAACTTATGTCCTGGAGCCAAGGTTAGTTTCGGATGCAAGGAAGCTGGGCTCAATGTCTTGAGCATGATGCTCGGACGGCCTTGGCAGCTGATGTCTAAAGTGCCCCGATCTTTGCTTTACTTTTACCATCAGGCGAATCTCTACTACCACGACATCTAGACATGAGATAGATTCGATATTATGCAGAGATCGTGGGGTTAAAACAAAATGCATGCGATGTCCAAGATGCTCCATTTGGCACTCTTGCGCTTAGACTGCGAGGAAAGACTTTGACCCTTCCAACCCCTATGCCGGCATGAACCAGATGGGCAAGAATCTGAACAAGTGCTGCAGCCTGGCAGCATTCATGAGGGTTGATGGCAACGATTCCCTCCCGCTTCCCCGCATCCTTGCCATGGCTTGGCCAAAATGAGCTCTTCTCGTGCGGACAAGGTCTCGAGCGAGATATTTGCAAGCAAACTTGTGGGATGAGCTCAAAAGAGTGCCACGACAGCTACCAGTGGCCTGGCTCGAAAAGGCACTCTGATGCACTTTGCAATCGGCTTCAAGCTGAGGAAGTGTCAGCAGAAGCTCCTGGGCCAGATGAGTTGTGTTGAGGGCATTTGAGGGTGTCTTGCTTTGGCGCCCTCATCGCCCTGTGGGTGAAGGCTTCAAGCCCGCAGCCTGTGTGTCTGTTCAGCCTTCGCTTCAGATTGCGATCGCGAGCCCAGGGTCTGCAAAGGCGATCAAAATTGCCAGCTGCAGGTCGGGGGAAACAGAGAGCGACAGAGTGACAGAGAGAGAGAGAGAGAGAGAGTGAGAGGCACGCACAGAGCAGAGAGCAGAGAGAGCAGAGAGCAGAAAAGAGAGAGAGAGAGAAAGAGCCGGCTCCCTTCTGGGAGTCACACGCACTGCAAGCAAGCAAGCAAAGAGAAACAGAGCGCGCGCGCCTCTAAGTACAGTTCTTAAAGGGGACCTCTGACCAGGCCGTCGCGGCCGGGGGCCTCCTCCCAGGGGGGCCCTCTTAGACGTGGAGAAGAAGAAGACAGAGAGAGAGAGAGAGAGAGAGAGAGAAAGATGAGAGAGATGATAGCAGAAGAATACAGTATACACGGGAACGCACGCGTTCGCGTTCCAGTAACAAAACGTGGCGCCAAGCCCCCCCCCGGGCCGTCGAGCCTAAGGCGTAAGAAGCACAATCTGAGCCTCAAGTTGAACCTTCAAGGCTTGGGGACCTCAGGGGCCCTCATGGCATCCTGAAGGTTGTTTAAAGATGGAACAGAGGTGTCCCGGTGTTTCCGTGTCTTTTTTTGTCTTCTGCTGTTGGACAAGCGCTGCTGGTATGCAGACCTCGTCAGTCTTGCAATCGAGCGTGCTTTCTTGTATAGTCGTCCTCCCTACATGCCGAATGACGCAATGGCAGGCAATGGTTGCAGACTTTTCTGGGGATCCTTATGATACTGACAAGGTGGGTTTTTGCGAACTGGTGCCATATTGCGTTTGACTTGTTTGCAGGTTGGGGCGGCATCTCTATCAAGTGCTTTTATTGCAGTGCCTTGTCTGCGCAGACTGAAAAGTTCGACGACAAGAAGTACGATCCGATGGAGACTCCGCCTCAGCTGGCGCAACCCTGGATGCTGACACGCCCTATAGTGCAAGGTCTAGATTCTAGATGTGATCGTCTTACTTTAGTGTTTCCGTAGTGCTTCCCGTGGCTTCTTCAGAGATCTATAAACAATGTCTGCAGCAGATCTCCCGGGGATCTTGAGTCCGTGCTAGGTCCAAATGCCGATCGTACTCTGCAGCACAATCAGCTGTGTGTCAATGCGTGCCACGTGAAGAAGTCAGGGCCCAAGCGCTTCGCAAGCCAATGCCGAGCATCGGCAAGCGCTTGTCAGCCAAATTAGAGCGTAAGCCATCCCTTCTCAGGCACAGACGGCAAACGAGAAGAAGCTGAAGGAGAGCCAAGTATGTTGCACCATTGTCCTCAGCTTCTACTACTAGGTCATGTTGTAGACTTCCGGACACAGGGCCTAGCTCCTGCATTGCTGGCATAAAAATCGTGGGAAACAGGCCCGGTAGGTATCGGCAGTGATTGGAGGGCATCAGCTTAGACGACTACAACTAGGATTCTTGAAGTTCTCTCAGAGGCTGCAGTTCGCAGCCGAACACGGCAAATGCATGGCACCACGGGGTCTTTTCACATCTTTTCACTGAGTCCCGTCTTAGTCCTTGTTCTAATCGGCATGTGCCCACGAGAGTCTTTCAGGCGAGGCTCCTGGGTATACAGTAGGGTTCAGGGTTGTTCAAACATGTTCCGTCCGAAGCTTGCTGCAAAACGGTCCTTCAAAAATCAAGCCAGCCCTCTGGATTGTGAGTGAAGTTGCTAAGCCTCTCACGATGCAGGCATTCTACAAGAAATTCAACCCGGAGAAGCTGGATGACAGCGGTGCCTTGCTCCAAATGTGCCCGAAGAGCCTGTCTCAGAAGCGAGTCGTGCAGAGACCCAAGCAACTTAAGAGTCTTCGCTGCAACCAACGGCGTCGAATGACAGCAAGAAGCGGCCCCAGCAGCTGTCGCCTCATGGCTTGCAAGGTTTCGATTGTGTAATTTATATTGCATAAGTCGTGGATGGTCTAGAACAGGTGCAGAACAGGATACCCTGATGTACGTTAGAGGGGTACCAGAACAAGTTACCCTGGGCCCATGCATGCCAAGCATTGTAAGATGAGGTGAGATAAAAGATGTGGATGGGGTGTGGAAGAAGTGGAAGGGCAAGGA